CCTCTCAGCCCCCTCCCCAGCCTCACCTGGGTGCAGGCAGCTCTGGCGCGGCACCGAGCACCCGCAGCAGCTTTGCCTGTCTGCGGGGCACCGGAGGGGAGCGGGGGGTGCCAAGGGAGATGGGTCTGCTCAAGGCAGAGCAGTACCTTGGGGTTCTTGAGGAAGCCCAGCTTGAAGTTCTGGTCGAGCTGGAGGTACTCGCTGCAGCTGCGCACGGTGGAGATGAGGATGACGCGCCGCTCCTGGCCCTGGAACTCCTCCACAGAGCCCACCTGGGGTGGGAACAGCAGGTGAGAGGCCGGGGAGGAACCCGGGGCGGGGCTCCCTCTGCCCACAGTGGGGTGAGCTCCTCTCCCCTCCGCGCCCAGGACCGTACCTTCAGCAGGCTGATGTCTCGCAGCGACCGCAGGACGGGGTCCAGGGAGGTGATGGCTTTCCGGATCTTCTCCACCTGGGGGGAGGCATGCAGCATGGTCCAGCCACCACAGAGCTGTCCTCACACGCCAGCCCCGGGGCTGCCCATCCGTCCCAGTGCCCCCTGTCCCCTGGGGAGGTCTCTGCCCGTCCCCTGCCTGCAGAGCCGTGCCCCTCACCTGCTTTCTGTAGGGAGAGATGATGCCGACCTCCTTGGGCGAGACGCTGGGGCAGCCCCCCTTGCCCCGGCTCTGCAGCAGCTTCTTGAGGTAGTGGACCAGCACCTCGATCTCAGCCGTGTTGAAGAATGAGGGGCTCTTGGCCTCCCTCCGATCTTCCCCACAAACCCCGTGGAAGATGATGGGGAAGCCCTGGGGGTCGAGAGCGTTGGGCTCTGCTCCACCTGCGGCTCAGGGCTCCTCCCCGCGTCCCCTCCCTGCTGCCCCCCTCACTTTTTTGGGAAGCTCCTCCCAGGCGCAATACAGACTCCGGACATCGAACTCGTCGCTCTCGCAGGCCTTCAGCTCGCTGTCGTAGAAGAGCTCGTTGGGGATCTTGAGGATGGCCTCGTGGGACCTGGCAGAGGCAGGACAGTGCCCAGGGTGGGTGTCACGAGGCCCCAGCACCCTCCCGGGTACCGTGCATCCAGGACAGGGGGTGCACTCCCCTCTCCCACGCCGGCTGGGGTGCTACGAGGCTCTGGGGAGCTGGAGCCCGGGGTGCAAGCACAGGTCCTGCATGGAGCCACGCTCAGCAGAGCAGCCCCATCCCTGCCTGTGCCCGTCCCCACGCTGGCACCATCCCCACCTGTAGTTCCAGAGCAGTTTGGTGACGAACTGCGGGTTGTATCCTCCGCTCGACTTCTTGTACAGGGGGTTGTGCAGCATCAGCCTCTCCAGCAGCGAGGTGCCTGCACCCAGCGAGACCCTGTGGCTCCCCACAAGGCCACTTGGCCCCCAGGTGCCGGCAGCTCTCCTGCCCCTCTCCCCGCTCACCCAAGCCGTGCTCGATGGCCAGCGGCGACCTCAGGACAGGGCCCAGCTGCTGGGGGTCTCCTGCCAGCACCAGCTGCCCCCCGTTGGGGTTGGTCTCCTGGTCCATGGCAGTCAGGAGCCCTGGGCAGAGGGAGAGCTCAGCAGGGGGGCAGGGGGGTCCCCGTGCCATGGCGAGACACCGGTTCTCATGACAGCAGCCAGGCACCACTCACCTGCGATGGCGACCACACTCTCTGGCTCTACTGCCTGGCCGCACTCGTCGATGAAGACGTGGGAGAAGAACCCTGGGCGGAAGTTGGCTGACACCAGCCTGGGAGAGAGGTGGAGTGAGGCTGCCTCGGCATCCCTGCCCTGGCTGGCCGTCCTTCCTCCCCTTGTCCTCCTGCAGAGGAGGGGTCCCCCCTGCTGCCCGCCCTCCTCCGCACCCCCTCTCCCCCACCGCACCCCAGCAGGGCTGCCCTCAGCCTGGTTGCAAGGCAGGCCCCAGGTCCACCCGCTGTGGGTGGTGGGGACAATCCCAGGTCCTCTGACCTTCCCGCTGTCACCAGGGTGGTGATGAGGATCCGGTAGCGCCCCAGGTGTTCCTTGCTCGGATACACGTAGCAGCTCTGCTCGTCATCCCAGTTGCAGCAGGGCTGAAACACAGGCATTCGGTGGCATCCTGCTCTCCCTGGGTGCCACCAGCCCAGACGTGCTGTGGGGTACTGGGATGGAGGGGTGGGGACCTACCCTGATATCAGCAGGCACATCCTGGTAGCTCCTGGAGCTGGCCATGAGCCTGTAGATGTAGCGGGGCGCGATGTCCTTGATGAGGCGCTGGCACAGCAGGTCTGCGGCACTGTTGGAAGGGGCACAGGCCAAGATCCGGGCGTCCTTAAAGCATGTCCATACCTAGGTGGGAGGAGGGGGTGATGGTGCTGAGCCCCACGGGCCAGAGTGGGCAGCGATGCCCAGGGCTGGACCTGGGCACCGGTCACTCACCTGCTTGATGGCTTCCACGACGGTGACCGTCTTGCCAGTCCCAGGGGGGCCAAAGATGAGGTATGGGGCTGGCCTGGACATCCCGGTCACGATGTGCGTCACGGCTCTGCACTGCTCCTCGTTCGCCTGCAGCTTGCGGTCGAACCATCTGTGGGAGCAACGGCTGAGCGTGCCGGGTCCCCATGCCCTCCCGAACCCCCCCGCCCCGCAGGCACGGGGACTCGGAAGGGGCCTGTGAAGAGGGACTTGTGGCACGAGGCAGAGGGGAAGAGGAGGCTGGACAAGCTGTGCCGCATGGCCAGGGTTGCAGCCCGGTGCTGGACCTGCAGCGGCAGCCGGCTGAAGGTGAAGGTCACGTCGAACTTCAGGTTGTTCACAAACTTCTTCTGCAGCCTGGGAAGGAGCAGTGTGAGCAGGGCATGGGTACG